CTCCTGGTGTCCTGAAAAGGTGCAGATACCTCACGTATCTCGAAACAAACGATGTACTTCTAACACTAAGGATATAAACCAAACCCCACACTGCGTTTCTAACGCTAGAACGCGAAACAACCAACGCTACACGTCATTCCTAACAGCACCAGGGCCTGGGGATGTGGGGGTGCTGGTCACAGGGCGGCCTGGGGGGTCTGAGGGGTCTTTTCCAGCCCTGGGTGGGGAAGGTTCTGAGAGACTTTCCTCAGAGGGAAAGGCGGGGAGAAGCCAAGGGCGGGCAGAGCCCCAGGGACAGAGGCCGAGGGCGGGAAGCGCAGCCCTGAGGGAGCGGCGTTCCCGGGGCCGGGAATGGGGCTGGAATGGCGGGAAGGAGGGGTGTTCTAGGGGGGTTCCGTGAGGGGTCTGGAATGCCGGGTGGAGCCTCCCCTCAGGGAATTCCTGGTCTGTGCAGCCGGCGGGGGCTGGGGCAGGAGAGGGCGGCATTCCCGGCGGGAGTCCTGGGGGAGTAAAACTGGGCCTTCAGGGCCCCACGCAGGGACAGGATGGCCAAGGAAGGTCTTGAGGGAATAAAAAGGACTTCAGAGCCCTGGGAAGTGACAAGATTCCCAAGGAAAGTCCTGAGGAAATAAGAAAAGCGACTTCAGAGCCCCATGCAGGGACAAGATTGTGAAGGAAGGTCTTGAGGGAATAAAAAAAGGGACTTTTGGTGCACTGGGCAGGGACAAGATTGCCAAGGAAAGTCCTGAGGGAATAAGAAAAGGGACTTCAGAGCCCTGGGCAGGGACAAGATTCCCAAGGAAAGTCCTGAGGAAATAAGAAAAGCGACTTCAGAGCCCCATGCAGGGACAAGATTGTGAAGGAAGGTCTTGAGGGAATAAAAAAAGGGACTTTTGGTGCACTGGGCAGGGACAAGATTGCCAAGGAAAGTCCTGAGGGAATAAGAAAAGGGACTTCAGAGCCCTGGGCAGGGACAAGATTCCCAAGGAAAGTCCTGAGGAAATAAGAAAAGCGACTTCAGAGCCCCATGCAGGGACAAGATTGTGAAGGAAGGTCTTGAGGGAATAAAAAAAGGGACTTTTGGTGCACTGGGCAGGGACAAGATTGCCAAGGAAAGTCCTGAGGGAATAAGAAAAGGGACTTCAGAGCCCTGGGCAGGGACAAGATTCCCAAGGAAAGTCCTGAGGAAATAAGAAAAGCGACTTCAGAGCCCCATGCAGGGACAAGATTGTGAAGGAAGGTCTTGAGGGAATAAAAAAAGGGACTTTTGGTGCACTGGGCAGGGACAAGATTGCCAAGGAAAGTCCTGAGGGAATAAGAAAAGGGACTTCAGAGCCCTGGGCAGGGACAAGATTCCCAAGGAAAGTCCTGAGGAAATAAGAAAAGCGACTTCAGAGCCCCATGCAGGGACAAGATTGTGAAGGAAGGTCTTGAGGGAATAAAAAAAGGGACTTTTGGTGCACTGGGCAGGGACAAGATTGCCAAGGAAAGTCCTGAGGGAATAAGAAAAGGGACTTCAGAGCCCTGGGCAGGGACAAGATTCCCAAGGAAAGTCCTGAGGAAATAAGAAAAGCGACTTCAGAGCCCCATGCAGGGACAAGATTGTGAAGGAAGGTCTTGAGGGAATAAAAAAAGGGACTTTTGGTGCACTGGGCAGGGACAAGATTGCCAAGGAAAGTCCTGAGGGAATAAGAAAAGGGACTTCAGAGCCCTGGGCAGGGACAAGATTCCCAAGGAAAGTCCTGAGGAAATAAGAAAAGCGACTTCAGAGCCCCATGCAGGGACAAGATTGTGAAGGAAGGTCTTGAGGGAATAAAAAAAGGGACTTTTGGTGCACTGGGCAGGGACAAGATTGCCAAGGAAAGTCCTGAGGGAATAAGAAAAGGGACTTCAGAGCCCCATGCAGGGACAAGATTGTGAAGGAAGGTCTTGAGGGAATAAAAAAAGGGACTTTTGGTGCACTGGGCAGGGACAAGATTGCCAAGGGAAGTCCTGAGACAAAAAAAAGGGACTTCAGAGGCCTGAGCAGGGACAAGATTCCCAAGGAAAGTCCTGAGGGAATAAGAAAAGGGACTTCAGAGCCCCATGCAGGGACAAGATTGTGAAGGAAGGTCTTGAGGGAATAAAAAAAGGGACTTCAGGGCATTCCATTCAATCACCCACCGTGCCTGATGCTCCCTGTCCCTAAGGCCTTGTCTCCCGTGGTTCACTTTGACCTTCCCTATTGAGTTTCACTTCCATTTAAAGAAGGGGTTTGAAAAATGAAAACCTTTCCCCTTTCCATTTCCCCTCCACGGTAGGAACGTCCCTGCAGCACCTCATTTCAAACACAGAGATCTCCATCCAACAGGGGATGGAGATCCCCAAAAGGGAAGGGTTTGGGAAGGGTTTCCTGGAGTTTCATGGCCCTTCAAGTCTTGGAGGCCAAGTATGACATGACTGAAGGGGAGCCAAGAGAGCATCTGATAATGCTGCACAGAATTATTTTCTGTGCTGGAGTTTCTGCATCATGTCTTAAAAAAATTAAATATTAAAAAAACCCCAACATATTAAATAATAAAAATAAAAGAATCCATGCAGGTTATCCTGTGGCACAGCCCAGGGTCTCCACTGCTTGGGTATTTCTTGAAAAGGGGCTTTTTTCATGCCATGAAAGCACTGGCCTCTGCTGTGGGGCTTAGGGAGTGTCCTGCTGCACCCATTTCTCTCCTGGGTGGTTTGGAAAAGCTCCCTGAGGTGGAGGTGGTTGTTGCTACAGCCTCATTTCATGTCATGTCGTGTGCTTATGATCACCAGCTGCTGGCCTGGGGGCAGTTGTGGTGCAGAGTGGTCACCTGGACCCTCTGCTGGCCCCTGTGCAAAGCCAGAAGTGGTGAAGCTGCTGCAAGGACTTGGGGGTCCCTTTTTTTTGGGGGGGGGCAGGATGAAGCTCATTTTGCCTCGGGGGGGGACGGTGCTGTCCTGGGGCAGTGGGAAGAGCACACTCCATCTTCCCCGTGGGGTGGTGGCTTCTCAGCTGCTTTCATCTCTGGGCTTGTTTCTCTGGGCAGGAATTTTGCTCTTCCATTGGCAAAGCGAGTTTTATTTCCACCCGTGGATGCAAAAAAAAAAAAATAAAAAATAAAAATGGCTTCTTAAATGTAAAGAAAGACACCAACAGAAAAGAGGGAGCCAAGATGCAGTGACATCCACTTTCTCCTGACCCAGCAAATTCGAAAGGAGGGCTTTGCAAAACACCCTCTTTGGCAAGTCAGACCCTCAGGGGGTGCTGCACCTTGATTTGTGGGTGCCTGGCGTGGAACTTGCCTTGGGAAATCTGTGCAACTGGGGCCATTTGAAAGCTCAAAAAACGTTTCTTGTGCTGGAAGGGGGAAGGATTTTAGATGAACACGCAGCTGATCAACCACAGCTCCTTTGGCCACACGTGGAGAGTTTGCCAAATGGGGTTTCCTGAGTTGTCTGTTCATGATGTTGGGTTTTTTTTTCCCTGGCACACTTGAATATTCCTTTTCCCTCCCTTTCCCAACTGCAACAGGCCACCCCAGCTACTCAGTGTTTGTATTATTCCTTGGCTTCTAGTGACTAGAGCCATTTTTCATCAACCAAAGAGAGCATGTGAGATGTAAAGTCTTATTTCCTGGGCATTTCTGAGAGTAAAATAGAATGGATTTTGTGTCAGGGAACACCCAGCACCAGCCCAGCTGGACTGCACTGTTTCCAGGTGGAAGAGAAAGGAGAAATGTCCATGTCTGTGTAAATATATCAGATAAAACCCCAGTCAGAAGTTTCACAATCAGCCCCAAATGTCATGTGGACACGAGAGAAAAACACCCCAGGAGGAGATAACAGCTCACCAGGTTAGATGAAGTTCTGCTTCCAGCACATTCTATCCCTAAAACCCTCCAGCTCTTCCCTTCAGAATTGTTTTCCAGCTTTGGGGTGCTAAGGGTGCAAGAACCTTCTTGCTCTCACCTTTCAATACTGCCTGACTGCTGCCACCCTCAGTTCCCAGCCCTCTCCAGTAACTTCCAGTGAGTTCCTGGGTTGGAAGGGCAGGGAAAGACCTTTCTCCAAACCATTCATAGCAGATGGAGACCCTCACAGAACATCATCAAACTCCCCTGGTTAATGTTTCATCCCATCCTCATCTGGCAGAAGTCACCCTTTTTTTGTTTTTAATTTATTTTTTAAAATGTATTTTTATTTGATTTTTTTCCCCACCATTTACATAATAAACCTCCTTTCTACTATGAAATAATGTCACTTTCAAACCCATTTCTTTTGTATGATTTATTAAGAAAGCCCATCAGTCTCACCAAGCTAATTATCATAAGCAAATGACTTGTCATAAAATTAATGTACCTAGGGAAAAAAAAAAGTTAATAGTTATTATTTAAATTCTTGATTCTTCCTTCTTTGCCCATAATTACTTCCAGATCTGGGAGTGAATGAGATGAATATGGAAAAGGGAAAATGGATTTGTTTCCTACACACATAAACCTTTTATCCTGCAGGTTTTATTTTAAGATAAAGGCTGCAGGAGATTGATTTTTATTATTCTTATTTATATTTTTTAATTAAAGGTGTCTCTTGTTTAGCTGGACATTTAGAGACCCCACCAAAAGAATTGTGTCTTTTGGTAAACTAATAAATTGGTTGGAAAGAAGCCCTTTGAGCAAAGAATAATGAGGGAGATACTAAAAATGTTGTGGCCAGGAAGGGTCTTGGAAATGTTTGGGGTCAGTTTTATGAGAAGTTATTTTGTAGCTGTCAGGAAATGAGATAAAGGAACCAGGAGTGGGTATTTCCAGCTAAGGTGTTCTGATTGCTGCTCTGCTCTGCAGGAAAAGGGGGGAAAGGGAAAGGAAAGGAAAAAAGAAAAGGGGACAAAAAGAAAAAAGAAAGAAAAAAAGAGAAGGAAAGAAAAGGGAGAAGAAAAAAAGAAAAAGAAAAAAGAAAAAAAGAAAAGAAAAAAACGAAAAAAAAAACAGAAGAAAAAAAAGGAAATAAAAGAAAAAAAGAAAGAAAAAGAAAAAAGAAAAAAACAAAAAAAACAAAAGGAAAAGAAAAGAAAAGAAAGAAAAGAAAAGAAAAGAAAAGAAAAGAAAAGAAAAGAAAAGAAAAGAAAAGAAAAGAAAAGAAGCAAAGAAAAAAAGAAATAAAATAATAAATAAATAAAAACAAAAGAAAAAAGGAAAAAATAAAAGAAAAATAAAAGGAAAAGCAAAAAATGAAAATGAAAAGGAAAAAAATAAAAGGAAAAGGAAAAGAAAAAATAAAAGGAAAGGGGAAGGGAAGGGAAGGGAAAAGGAAAGGGAAAGGAAAGAAAAAAGAAAAGAAAACAAAGAAAAAAAGGAAATAAAAATAAATAAATAAATGAAAACAAAAGAAAAAAGGAAAAAATGACAGAAAAATAAAAGGGAAAGAAAAAATGAAAAGGAAAAGGAAAAAAATAAAAGGAAAAGAAAAAATAAAAGGAAAAGGAAAAGGAAAGGGGAAGGGGAAGGGGGAGGGAAGGGAAGGGAAG